GATATGGGTAACGGGATATGGGTAACTATATTAGCTAACTATATTAGCTAATAAGGTCAAAAGCTGAATCGTAATACTTTAATAAGATCCAGGGCTACCTGGGTATTATTATAGCTAGTATAGAAGCCTAATATCTGGTACTTTCCTTAAATAAGCAAATAATATCCAAATTTTAACTATTTAAATAACCTTTTACTTATTAAACTAGTATAAAACGGACTAACTAGAAAGAAAGTAATATATAATATTTTAATATTTTTTTAGTCTTTATTAAGTACCTTATACCTAGAGAACTAATTACTTTCTTAAGTATAATAATATTAAGATTACTAACTACTTTAAACTATTTATTATAAAAATAACTAATTAAATAGAAATAGGAAAGAACTATAATAAGTACCTATTTTATATATAGGTAATATAGCTTTCTAAGAAAAAGAAATATATTTAGCTTCTTATTTTTAATTCTAATAATACTAAAGCTTCCGGTACTATAATTTATAAGAGCGAGCTAATCCTAATCTAAGCTATTTTTATTAAAAAAGTTTAGAAGTACTAGAAGTTAATAAATAATAATAACTTATTCTATATTATAAATTCCGGTAGAAATCCGGACAAGTAATATATAAAACTATATTCCGAATAGCTTTAGAAAACTCTATAAGATAAGAATTAGCGGAATTTCCCCTTAGTAAATAGGGAAATACTAAAATTAGTAACCCGGATTAATATAATAGATAGAAAGCGGAAACTTCCCTCTCGTTTAGTATTTCTTGCTTCTCTTAAGCTATAATAAACTTGCTCTAGATTATAATTCTTCTCTGAGTCCTGCTCTCACTTTGCTTTATTTATAAGGCTAGCTTCTCCTGCCTTTTACTAGAAAACAAGCCGTCTAAATATTGTCTTAATACCGGTTCCGGATTAAGTAGGAGATATTATAGTAGCTATAGCAGATAGAAAGCATAAGCTAGTTTCTGATAATAATATAATTACTTATTAACTCGAATAATTAGGAATAGATATAGAAAATATAAACCTGAACTTATTAATACTCTTAATAAAACCATCCGAACTACTCTCTACGGATTGCTTTCCTATACCTATACCTAATAAATCGGGTATAAAAGAGGAGATTATAATAGTTTTAGTTCCTGCTTTCCCTGATTTCACTAAAGGCTTATTATTAGCTTTGGAAACTCTAGTACCTATTTCTTCTCGTATTTTAATATACTTCTTATAGCTCTAATTAGTTCTTAATACTTCCATACCTCGTATACTAAGCCCTCCGAGTTCTTCTATTCTTGAAGTACTAATACCTCCGGCCTTTAAATTATCTATTACTAGACCCTTAATTACTACTTCTCAAAGCCCCTCTCCTAATACCTCTCGAAATTAGTTTAATATTAAAGGACATATAAGGGAAAGAGATTAGAAGCTAGTAGCTAAACGAGAGAAGAAGCGTCTAGAGAAGAAGGAAAGGAAAGTAGTAAAGCAGGCTACTAAGGAAGTAAGGAAAGGTACTATCTGAGCTATATTTATTTATTCTACTTTTATATTCTATAGTTAGAATTATTTAGGGATACTAGTTTCGTCTAGTACTATTTTTAAATAAGAGTATTAAATATAGTTATATAATATATTATATATATATAATTATATATAAGACTAACTAGCCTATACGGATATATATATAAGGTAGGCTCTGCCTATCTCCTATTCTATAAGAAATTAATTAAGATCTAACCCACTTATATATATATATATATTTGTTTAATACCTCTTAGCCCCTTAAGAAGAGGCCCTATTTGAGTTCTTCTACTTTAATTCCGAATTTTCTTCTTTATAAAAGCTATTAAGTTCAGATTCGGACTCTCCTTATTCTCTCCTATAAAGAGCTTCTCTTTTAAAGTTCCCGTTACTTTCCTCTTATTCTCTATAACTTACCTATTTATATTTATATAAGTACTATAAACTATTTGATTTCTTCTTTATTAATACTAAAATTATCGAAATTCTAGACTTATAATTAGATAAATAAAATAATTAAAATTATATTATCTAATAAAAATAAGCTAAATAGGATATCTCTTGGGCTAATTCCTTAGCTTAAGGATAATAGATTAAATTAGTAGAACTTTTTCTATTAACTAGAGGAAATACTTATAATAAAAAGCTTTACGGATATAATATAGTAAGTAAAGAAGTTATATTACCTGCTTTCTTTAGCGGATTTCCTAGATAGTATTATAGAGGCCTAGTAGGTAGTATATCTCGCTCGGTATATGAACTATATCCTGCTTAAGGCAAAGTATAATAGAGTACTCCTAATCTAGATAGAGAAGTAAGGTTATATTTATATAGTAATCCGGAATAAGTATAAGTATAATAATTACTAAAAGGTTAAATTAAAGACCCGGATATATTAGATATTTAATATCCTTCGGGCTAGCTATAAGAAGGGCTTTAGAAAGCTAATAGAGCTTATAACCCGGTTCTATATTCTTTATTTTAGGAATTATAAGAGTATTACTAATTTCTCGGGCTAGCTTTTGCAAATTAATTACGAATTATAAGATCTTTACTTATCTATTATATTCTTAGAGATTTAGTTCGTTCTCTACTTCCTCTAAGGCCTTAGCTTTATATATAATATCTTTATTATTATACTTACCTAATCTATAGCCCTAATTACTTCTACTAATACCCCTATAATTACTGGCCCTAATTACCTCTACTAATACTCCTGTAATTATATTTAATACTATAGTTTAGAAGGCTTATAATAAGAAGAAGTAGTAATCCTCGTTAATTACTAGTACCGGAATAGTTTTTATGGCCTATAGCTTCTTTTATTTATCCGGTATAGTCGACTATTATATTTACTATAATAAGAATCATTATATAAAAGCCAAGTATTTCCTAAAGTACTTATATCTCAAGAAGAATTTCAATAATAAGTAAAAGGCCCGAGATAAGAAATAGAAGCGGATAAGTAAAGGCAGGAGAGACTTTAAGAAGCTAAAGAACTCTTCTTTACCCGAGCAAACTGCGGATATTACGGATATAGGTACCCTAATAATTAATTATATAGCTATTAATAATTTTATATCCGGAAATATTACTCCTGTTCTAATAAATAATTAAGCCTTCTTAGCCCTGCCTTACCTGCTTTAAAATAAGTAGATTATTAATACTAGCTATATAAATTATACTACGGGTATTCTGGCTAATTTCTCCGAGCTTCAGAAGAACTAGTATAGTACTTGCGGTAGTATTAGGGGTAGTATATATTTTAAAGGAATTAGAATAATTAAAATCCTAATTCCTGGCCCTAGTAACTATCTAATACTTCTTTACTTAACTAATATTAAATACTATTTATTTATAGGGCTATTTAATCTTATTTCTGTATCCCAGATCTTTAAGAAAAAGAAGATATAGCCTGTTCTTATAGAAGAGGCTATTTATTAGACTATAAGTAAGGTTAAGATTAATATATCTATAAAATACAGGCTCTGGCTCCTGAATTAAGTAAAATAACGGCCTATCTTTACCCGTTTTACTATAGAAGCCCCTTTTCCGGTTCTTTCTCTAGCCTCTTCTCTAGTTCTATAGCCGTCTATTCTAAACTCTTTCTTACTAAGTACTTATCTATAGTAGTTTTCTTTCTCTATCTTATATTATCTACTAGTTCTATAGATTTCCTTTATACCAAGAGCTTTCCCGGCTATTAAGAAGCCCCCTATTAAGAAACCTACTATTACTTAAGCCTATATAATTCAAACTAATATTATTTAGTAATATAATTATATGAGATACCTGAATTTATAAAATATGGCCCGTTTATTATTTATATATAAGGGTACTTAGTCACGTGCCTAGGAGAAATAAAATCGGATTTAAATATAGTTCAAATACGATTTAAATTAAGCTTTAAAAACTTTTTTCCGGTTTTTTTACTTCCCTTACTTTTACACCCACACTTCACCCACCTTCAGAACTCACTCAATATACCTCAGCCCTTTGGCCCCAGGCTCTAGAACCTACTATAAGTAGAGCTAGAACAGGCTAAATGGCCCCCCCTGACCCCCCGGGCTCTAGCCCCCCTCCCATCGACTTTCAAGAGCTCGGAGAGCTTCCAGAGGGCCCTAGCAAACAGCTAGACCTACCCACTAGCTCCCCACTAGCTCGGTTCAGCCAGGGAGCTCAATTCGCATTCGATTTAGCTACAAATCCCATCTCTTCAGACAAACTCGCAGCCCCTTTTCCTCAGCCTAATTCAGCTAGTGCGGCTTGACTAAGCCGCCTCCAGAACGGGCTAAAGCGTGGCCCTAGCTTGAGCGATATTAATAGCAATATTAATAAGGAATACCAAAACCACGGAAACCACTACTAATATCAGAATTAAGCTTCGAATAAAGCTAAATTACGAAGTCAATTAACTTTTTTTTTTCCGGTTTTTTACCCCCCTTACTTTCAGTTACACACTTCACCTACCTACAGAACTCACTCCATATACTTACTCCCTTTAGCCCCAGGCTCTAGAACCTACTATAAGTAGAACTAGAGCCGGCTAAATGGCCCCCCCTGACCCCCCGGGCTCCAGCCCCCCTAATATCGACCCCCAGGACCTCGGAGAGCTCCCTGAGAGCCCTAGCTCGGAGCTAGAGCTACCTACTAGCCCCCCATTACCTCGATTCCCCCCAGGTTCCCAGTTCGCCTTCGATTTAACCACGAACCCCATATCCTCAGACGAACTCGCAGCCCCTTTTTCTCAGCTTAATCAGGCTAGTGCGAATCGACAGAGCCGCACACTAAACGGGCTAAAGCGTAGCCCTAGCTCGAGCGATATCGATAGCGATATTAATAAGGAATACCAAAACCACGGAAACCACCACTAATATCAGAACCAAGCTTCGAACAAAGCTAAATTACTGATTCGCCAAGCCCGGGAACTAATAGTCAAGGCTATTAGTATTACTACTTCCTATAATCAATAATCTCGACTACTAGATCTAGTAGAAATCTTCAGGGAATACACTGAATTCGGCCGTATCCGCCATACTAGTACTCTACTAGCCTCTCAAGTAGCAAACCTCGAAAATGCCACTAAACGGATCGAAATTCAAGCAAGAATACAAGCAAAAACTGCCCCTACGAAGCCTATACAAGCTATACAGGCTAAGCCTACTTGGGCTAGTATAGCTAGTCAAGAACCCACAAACTCAGCATCGGACTAGACTTTAGTATCACATACTAAGTCCAAAAATCAGGAAGGGAATGGCACTAGTACACTTACTAGTAGCGGTAGTACTCGTGGCACTAATACTAGTACTCGTGACACTAGTCTATATAGCATACGTAATGCTAAAAACACAGCCCTCTCTAGGAAATGCACCTTCCTACTAGCTCATATAGAGCAGGCTACTTCCTTTTCAGCTATTTCTACTCGCAATTCGCTTAATACTGCTTTCCGCTCTAAGGGAATCAAGGGACTAGTAATCTCTATGGTCTCTCTTTCCTCAAGGGGTAATATTATAGTAAATACCACCCCGGAGTTCAACTCTGATTTTCTGGTTTCAAATATTGAGATTATAAAGGGGGTGCTTCCCTTAGTTAAAAGCATACAAAAAGGAGAACCATGGTATAAAGTTATTATCTATAGTATACCTATTCGTGAGTTCAATATACCCGAAGGAATGGACTTAGTCCTAGAAGAAATTAAGACCTTTAATAAAGGACTAGAGCCTATTAGCCAGCCTTATTAGGCCACTTCTAAGGAAAAGAGAGACTCAGGCCTCCAGCGAGCCGGTTTAGTAGTAGTGGCATTCCCTACCGAGATCCAAGCTAATAGAACTATTAAAAATAGACTTCTTATAGCCGGAATCTCTGCTAAGATAGTAAAATATCATACTATCTCTAGTACTATATAGTATACTAGGTGTGCAGGGTACGGGTACTTAGATTCTATTTGCAAAAGAGAACCTATATATTTACTATATAGGGAAAGTCATGTGACTGAGAACCATTTTTGCTCTATCTGTAAAAAGAAGAGTAAAAAATGCCCCCACGTGATTACCAAATGCTCCAATTACTTAAGTACTATACATTTAGCTAGTTCTAAGCTATATGAAGTCTACTTAGCTATAAAGCAAGCCACTACTTCGATTCCTACTATTACTATTAATAAGTAACTATATAAAAGTACTATAATTTAATGTGAATCATAATAGAACTACTACTGAAAACGTCTTGTAAATAGCTATAGAACTGGATATTAAAGTCCTAGTAATCCAGGAACTATAGGTAATAGCAAGGGATAGTAATAATCGGAAATATTATTCTATTATATACTCGAGCTATTATTAAATACTCCCGAATTACGGTACCTTGAGACCTAGAACCTTAATTTACATAGCCCGTGAATTATAGGCTAGCCTAGCTCAAAACTCACTAAGTAATCCAGATTGCCTAATTATAGACTTAAGTCTAGGTGTACTAAAAATGCAGCTAATTAATTTCTATAATGTAATTCACCCAGAAGACCCTAATAGTATATTAACTATATTAAGAGAGGACATTTTACCTACTACTCTCTTTAATAGCTCTTTATTACTAGGTAATTTTAATATATATTATCCTTGGTAGGATCCCCTAAGGCCTCAAAGCAGTTATATAATCTATTTAATTAGCTATATAGAGAGCCATTCTCTAAGGCTATTAAATAAAATAGGGAAAGGTACCTTCTATAGATCGAATATATCTATTCCTTCCGTATTAGACTTAAGTTTTGCTACTAGTGGAATAGTAACTAAGATTAAAGACTGGCAAGTACTACCAGACTTAGGTTCTAATTACTTTAGGGTACTATTTACTATTAGTAAGTCAACTTATAGCTCTAGTTCTAATCCAGTCAGATTTAATACTAGGAAAGCAGACTGGGCTAAATTTATAAGCTACCTTATTAGTAGCCTTAATAATATACCCTTTCTACTTACTAGTATACCTGGAAACCATAAACTAGACCTATTAGCTAAAGACTTTACTAATAGAATAGTAGATGCGGCTAGTAATAGTATTCCAAAATCTACTATTAGTCTATATTCTAAACCCTGGTAAAATAAGGACTTAAAGACTTTATATAAATTAATACTATATTATAGCTATAAGTCTAAAGTCTCAGGATATACTTTCTATAAACAAGAACTCCAAAATACAAAGAATACCTACTTTATTACTATTAAAGGTACTAAGCTAGTATATTAGAATAAGTTCTTAGAGAATAAAGACTCCTAGTCAATTTTTAAAGCTATGAAATATACTAAAGATACCTTATATGAACCGATTCCTAGTATCTTAAGTAGTAATAGTAGAAATAGTAGTAATAGTAGTAATAGCAATTTAAAGTCGACTTTCTAAAAGAAGTATAATATCTTTAGAGCTAAGCTTTTCCTACTACCCTCTAATACTGAGCCTATTAGCCTAATAAACTATAGGCCTAGTTTAAAGTAGAACTGGCCTATTCTATCTAGAATAGAGCTAGAACAAGTATATACCTCTAAGATAAAGGGGAAAACCCCAGGACCAGACTTAGTTACTCAAGAGATTATAGTCTATACTTATAGAGCTACTTCAGATATTTTTTATAGGCTATATTCCTTATTTATTAATAAGGGGTACTACCCTAAAGTCTGGAAACAAGCTACTGGCTTTATTCTAAAGAAATTAGGAAAACCAAACTATTCCCTACCTAAAGTATATCGAGTTATTTCCTTACTTAATTACTTAGGGAAGGTTTCTAAGAGAATATTAGCTAAGAGACTTAGTTATTTAGCCGAGACTAGTAACCTATTACACCCTTCCCAAATAGGAGGTAGGCTATATAAGTTAGCTATTAATACTGCTTTATTACTATAGAATAAAGTAGAGACTAATAAGTCCTATAAGCTAAAAACTACTACTTTCTTCCTAGATATTAAAGGTGCCTTTAATTACATATCCAAGAATAGGCTATTACAGATTATAATTAGTTTATTACTATTTACTAGCCTTATTTTCTGGGTATTGTCATTCCTAGATAACCGAGTATTAAGACTAGCTTTTAATAATAGTATAGAAGCATTTAAGTCTATACTTACTAGTATTCTATAAGGGAGTCCTATATTACCTATACTATTCCTAATCTATATCCGAGATCTATTTAAATTAGTAAACGTTAGTTTTAAGTCCTATTTAGATAATATAACTCTTACTACTGCTTCTAATAGCCTTAAAAAGAATATTAAGACTTTAGAGCAGGAAGTAAAGGATATAGTTAATCTAGGGAATAAAAATGCTATTAGCTTTAATATAGATAAGACTAAGCTTATTTATTTTAATAATTCTAAGAACAAACCTAGCTTAAAACTACCTAACGGGGAACTAGTTTCCCCTAGTAAAGTAGTTAAGTAAATAGGAATATATTTCGACGAGAATCTCAGATTTAAGAAATATATAGCTTATAGGACTTCTAAAGCAAAACAAGCCTTTTATAGGATTTAGAGACTTATAAATATATTATATAGTTTATTCCCATTTGCAATTAGATAGCTATATTTAGCCTGTATTACTAGTATAATAGACTATGGTTCCTTACTATAGTAGAAGACCGAAAATAAAGCTCAAATTAGGCCTTTATAAGCTATTTAGAACCTAGCTTTAAGAAAAACTTTAGGAATATTTAAAACGGCTCCTATTATTCCTATAGAAGTCGAATTAGCTTTACTTCCACCTATTATAAGGCTAAACCATAGTCGTCGCCAATATGCCCTCCATATCCTTAAATTAAGTCTAAATCATCCTATTAAACTAGAGTTTGAGAAGTCCTTCCAAAGATCTAAGTAATTAGAATTAGTAGACTCTGATATAGACTCTATTTATAGTCTAAATACAGATCTAGTTCGAGATCATACGGCTAAAATATCCCAAATTGAAATTATAGTCAATTCTATTAAGGAACTTATAGTCCCTAAGAACTTAGAGACTATAAGACACTTTTACTTTACTCCCTGGAACAGAGAAGTACCTTATAAAATTACTATATTAAGACAGCCTAAGGAAGAAACTACTATATTACATAATCTCTATTTAAAGACTTTATATAATAATAGCTCTATATTATTTATATATACAGATAGATCTCAAACTCAAAAAGAAATCGGAATAGGCCTAGAACTCGTAGTCTATAGTTACGAAACTCCCTATATACCGGTCATAGCTAAATATAGAGAAAGCCAGAATATAGGAGCTAGTACTATAGTCTATAATAGAGAACTAGAAGGCGTTACTAGAGCTATTAAATATACTAGTAGTAAAGCAAAGAGAGAAGAGCTTTATAATATCTATATAGATAACTAAGCTAGTTTACTAAGATTAAAAACTCCTTCTAATAAGCCGGGACAAAGTTAATAAATTAGAGCTATACTAGCCACTAAAGCCCTTATAGCTAAAGGAGCTAGTATAGAACTAATCTGGGTCCCAGGCCATACAGATATAATTAGGAACGAAGAAGCAGATATACTAGCTAAAATAGGTACTACTTCTCCTATATTAGATAATCCCGAATTAGTAAAAACCTCCTTTGCTTTCCTAGGGGTCCAAATTAATAAAGTTAAGAAATAAGAGTATAGACTACTTTTAGAATCTTATACTAAACCAAAGACCTAGCTAGAATCATATAGTAATATATATCCATAGAAAGTATCCAAGAAAATACAGCTACCTTTAGGAACTTTAAGGCTACTAGCTAGTGCCTTCTTCTAATTAAAGCTAGGCCACGGATATATAAAGTCCTATTTATATAGGCTAAAAATAGCATCTAATAATAAATGCAAATATGGGAAGACTGAGAATACAAAGTACCTCCTTTTATATTGCAAGCTATATAAGGAGGAACGAATTAGACTATTTAGTTTATTCAAGGATAGCTTAGAGGCTAGTACTTTTAACCTATGAGTTCTATTATATACAGAGATTAGTATACCGAATATACTAGTATTCTTAAAAGAGACTAGTATATATACAAGAAAATGGCATATAGACCGAAATATAGAAGTAGAAGAAGTAGAAATAGGGATAGAAATAGGAGAGGAAATAGGGGAGGAAATAGGGGAGGAAATAGGGGTGGAAATAGGAGAGGAAATAGGGGTGGAAATAGGGGTGGAAATAGGGGTGGAAATAGGGGTGGAAATAGGGGATATAGAAATAGGAGAGTGGAAATAGGGGATAGGAGAGGAATTGTAATTTATACTTATTTTCTTTATTTCCTTACTATTACTATTCTAGGGGTATGTCCCCAACCATTTATTATACCTATATTGGAAATTGGGCCTATATATAAACTACAGAAATACATACTAGCTTGCTAGCCGTACTATATAGTTCTAAACTAATAAAGTACGTTAAAAGGAAAAAAAAAAAAAAAAGCTAAATTACTAATTCGTTAAGCCCGGGACTTAATAGTTAAAGCTATTACTATTACTCCGTTATATGACCAGTAATCTCGACTACTAGATTTAGTAGAAATCTTTAGAGAATATACTGAATTTGGCCGTATCTACTATACTAGTACTTTACTAGCCTTCTAGGTAATAAACCTCGAAAATGCCACTAAACGGATTGAAATTTAGTTAAGAACTCAAGCCAAACTAGCTACTCAAGCTAAAACTACTCCCGAAAAGCCTACTTGGGCTAAAATTACTATTCAAGAACTATAATCTTACTCGGAAAA